TAAAAAATAATATACAATCATTTGTTTCACAAAGTAGTCACTTTGGATGCGCATTGTAATTTTTCAACTGCATACAGTCTTCTTCAGATGATAAGGTAGACTGAGTATCTGGTCATTAGAAACTTTCTGCTCAGGTGTAATTGGATGGAATCTCACGCCTTGATTGGCGCATTTTGTCGAAATATTCCCTCAGTGGTCGGCTGTCATGGCTCTCCTGCTGTTGTGTGTCTTGATTGTTGGCATCCCAGCTTCTAGGATTTTTTCTATTCCACTGTCCCTGTTGATGTTCTTGTGTCTTATGTTGACTTATAGGACATTTTTAAGACTTCAGAGGCAAAATAATAGTTTCACAATTAATCCCTTAATAGACTATTTTCCCATACACACTAACAAAACCTTTTGTGTGTGTACATGTAGGTCATTCAATTAATAAAAGCAAGGTATTTAGAGGTAAACCACAGCCTCCCTTTAGAGGCAACCATGAACATAAAGCAATAACCATTAATTAAGTTGAGGTGAATTGATTCACAAAGGTTACATATAATTGATCACTTGAATTGTCTTGTATGGTTTCTGTCAAAATGTGAAAGCTGCATGTTTTTAAATTATTATCTTGCAGTTTGTGAAATGAAGGCCATTGGCCTGGCCACTGGTGGTGCAATTCCTGACAGCAGCTTCACAGCCTCATCTTATTATGATAATAGATATAAAGCTTCTTATGGTCGACTGAATGAAAATAATCGCGGTTGGGCACCCAAGACTATGGCCAATCCCGCTGACTTCTTACAAATTGACTTGCTGCATAACTATGTCATCTGTTCTGTAGCTACCCAAGGAGCTAATGGTATCAAGGAGTGGACAACAAAATACAAGATCCAGTTATCATTGGATGGTATCACGTTTTTCACCTATAAAGAAAACAATATTGCCAAGGTAGGGGGCACGGTTATCCCCCTCCCCCTCCCAGGAATATGAAACAGCATCAAGTAGTTGTCATTAAGTACAAGTCATCCTGACCAAGTCGCATTGACCATTACATCCTCGTTCATCAATGCAACTTGCCTCTTTCTTCTTTCAAAAATCCATGAGATATTTAAGAACATTACACAACTAGGAATATTACAGACGGTTTATTACCGAGGAATAGCCATTTTTTCGTAGAGCATTTGTTGCATTCTCTTACAAGCTACATGTACCTCTCCCTTGAATTGTTTCACTAGAAATGTTATTTCAACTTCTAATACACGAACATTTAAACATTTGTTTGGTAGATTTTTACCGAAAGGAACAATAAGTCTTTTAATTGTGGTAAACATTATCTACCCATATCGAAGGAGGTTGTAGAATAGCTGATATATATGGCAACTAATGATACAATTATTTTACATTTATGCAACAAACTACAGGTTTTTACTGGAAATTCAAACCAAAATGGCATCATAAAAAACAATCTACAGGAATTTGCAAGCGCAAAGTTTATCCGCTTCTGGCCAACAGCCTTTAGTGTTTGGAAGGCTCTGAGGGTGGAAGTTTATGGAATAATTCCAACTAAAGGTAGTTTTTGCTTTCATTTTTTTCTCACCCTGAGACAAAATTGAAGTCACGATAACTAATAATTTGTGAAAGCCAAAGGAGCTAAGGGGCTAAAGGCAAGAGCTATATGTAAAGAGAAAGTTTAATAATATTCTCCAAAAGTGATTAAACCTTGGTTGAGTGAGAACGGTTTCAAAATAGTTTTGAACCGACCATTTGAGAATTTGTTAATCAATACCTTTAAATTTTTGCAGAACCCTAATATTTTGAACCTTGTTGAACCTTGAATGTCACATTAACCACAAAGAGATCCCTCAGGTTTTGCTTTTGCCAAACAAAGTTGTGCCTAGATTAATTGTTATCCATGCTCCTTATGATACATCGGGATTTGTGATGTAGCTTGTGTATTCTGGCACCAAGTTGGTTTCCATTGTAACAGAATTGCCTGTCTTATGCTGTGTAGAGCATCTTTACATTTGAATATATAGAATTTATGTCTGATGCATATTTGTTTTAGCAATACTGTATATTCTCACTTGATGAGAGAATTTCTCATCAAAAGTCAGTTAAACTTTTAAACCAACTGCAGACAGCCCTTTTGTTTTGCACGACAAGAAGTCGAAAGAAGGACATAACAAGGGCTAGATTCCCTGCCAATGACAGTGGATATGTCATCATAATTACGAATCGCTTAATCAACCACGTGAAATACGTGGTAATTCCATCCAGCTTTTGAAATGTGATTTTACAAACCTTAACATAACACAGCATAACGTTTTATTCAAGATACAATAAT